GCACCTCCCTGCCGCCGCCGCTCCGGGAGCGCCCGGGACGCCATGCGTAACGTACTTCGTAACGGCAACGTCGCGAATCGGAAGCGTCGCCTTGGTTAGCTCAGCAGCAAGGTTGTTCCGAGCCAAAAAATTCTCGGGCCGAGTCCTCTGCTCGCGCACGCCCGATTTCGCTCGCGCAGCTTCGCTGTCTCTTCAGCTACGTTCATTGCCGCTTCTCCTTGTCCCAGTTTGTTTTTACTGCAGGAGCGTTACGGGCGACCCCTCTGGGGGTATTGCATGGTTACGCCGAAGTATCGTTTTTCGTTGAAGAAGCCATAATGGTGTCTTTATATCCGCTTTCCTTGCATCAGCCGCAAGAGCGCACTGGCAGTGTCCAGACCTGTCAGCGTCCCAGGGACAGACTGTGTTTGTTTGAAAACAACCAGTGTAACGTATATTTTCGCAGGCAGGACACACTGCTTTCTCAAATCCAGCTGCTGAATCCTGCGGCGCACACCAAGCACGACGTTTGACAGGGTCTGCTTATTTGTATTTGTGCAGTAATACAACATTGCTTTCTGGATGGTTAAAGTCAAATTCCCTGGTGTCTTGGATACTGCGTTTATCCAAGAAGTTCACAAAAAGAAGCTCCCACCTGCTTATGGAAAAGACTGGTAGTTTTAGAAAGCACAGTCTCCTGCAGTGGCCTTCTTGATTGCTTTTTATAACACGTCTTCCCTCTTGCAGAGCACATGAAACAAAGTGGATTTTTTTTGGTTTGGATAATTAAATGCAAAAGTGAAGCTGCGGTATCTGATGATCACAGGAAACATTTTGTTGCACACGCTGCATGCCCCGCCACAGCGAATGCTGCTGCCGATACATGACAAGACCAAAGAAGAAGCACCACATCACAAGATAAAAAAGGGGAGCAACAGCATTTTCTTTCTCCCCTCAGAAGCATTAAATTCCAAACGTTTTGGATAATGTCACAAATAATGGAAGCGAGACTTATGTGAGTCACTGTCCAAGGCCAAGTTTAAAACCCCAATAAAATCAATCAAGGGATATTACAGGAGCGGTGTTACAGACTGGTGGCTGGTATTACAGATGCAAGGGAAGAAGCCTCCTCCGGCCCCAGCGCCCCGGGGCGGCCCGCGACCCCGGCCCCGTTACGTCGACAAAACCCAGTTCTGCTGCTCCTGGGACGGCAGGGCTGGGCGCCCACGGAGGAGCGCACAGGTGCGGCACCGTCTCCCGCGTGAGCCCAAAGCCACGGGACTGCCGGGCGCCTTCATGTTCCCAGGTCTTTATTTGCGGTCATGTAATTGCGTGAGCCGCAGAACACGGCTGGGTTTCCCTGGTCCCAGGATGATCCGTGCTGCTAATAAAAACAGTTTTATTTTGACTTGTAAACTAAATGTATTTGTGATAGCAGTAATTGAGGTACAATCTGGAAAGTAAATCAGAAACTTATTAATCTTTCCTCCTAGACTATTTTAAAGTTAAAAACAATTTTTTTAAATTGATTTTTTTTCATAACTAGAGTACACTTGTCATGCTGATTTATTCACTTGCTGCTGGGCTACTCATACGCGTTCAACAGTAATAACAGAGAATTCATACGTTTGCCCTCCGTGGAAGAGACTTCTGATAAGCGGTTTCGTGACGCTGTCCAGGGAATGACAAAGCTGCTCGGTAGGAGGGCGCCTTCTCCGGCAGGCAGGAGGTTCTCAGCGACTGCTAAATAATGCAGCAGAGTCCTACCACGCAGGATGGCCGGATGCAAACAAAACAGTGGATCTAATTGACTGCCCTCCTGATAACGAGAAACTCGTTGGATGACTGTTGTATTTACCGGCCCGCGTGGCTGGGGTGTTCTGTCAGAGGAGCGCGCGAAAAACGTGCGGAATTGGGTATTTGTGATGGGAGCAAATGCCCATGATGTGAGGAGTGGGGAAAAAGACCCTCCTTCTGTTCCTACACAGAAGCCTCTGCCCCGATTTAGGATACTTGAGAGAAAATATGTAATGTGAAGAGCAGACAGATGAAGAACAGCGCGCCGTATGGACGAGCTCGGAAATCAGTAACAGCACACCACTTCTTAGGGGCGTGCAAAATGTCCTGAATCGACTTGATCTTTGGCAGTCGTCACAGTGAATGGACACGTTATTTTTCAGTTTCATCAATTAAATTTGTTCTATAGTTGGAACCGAGCAGAAAAAGGGATTTTCAGGCCCTCCGAAATCGTCGT